TGTTTTTCTCTTTCTGACTTACTTCACTCTGTATGATAGACTCTAGGTGCATCCACCTCACTACAGATAACTCAATTTTGTTTCTTTTTATGGCTGAGTAATATTCCATTGTATATATTAGGGCACTGACCTATTTAGAGAAAGACTTTCTTCTGCTGTGCTAAATTCAGGGTCTGTAAACCCTCCGCTGGTCTGGTTTGTGGGCAGTGGGGCTGGACAGGGATGTGGAGAGGCCAGGGGGTCTGGTGGACAGAGCAGAAGCTGGCAGAGTGCTCCATGTTTCAGGCCTGCTACGAGAGAGGCAACGAAGTCAGCGTGGTGCCCAAGACGGCTGCTTCCACCGACTCCCCCTGGATGGGTCTCGCAAAATATGCCTGGTCTGGGTGAGTTTCAGCTACCGGTTGTTTGGTGTGTTTGTCTCTCCAGGCACCTGGTGGGGTTACGGTATCTATTTGCCTTCCTTGTAGGTACGTAATTGAATGTCCCAACTGCGGCGTGGTCTATCGTAGCCGGCAGTACTGGTTTGGAAACCAAGATCCTGTGGATACAGTGGTGCGGACAGAGATTGTGCATGTGTGGCCTGGAGTAAGAGCTGTTTTATTTTCCTGTTTTCTCTTGTATTGTCCAGTCCTGTGTGTGGGAAAGCAGAACTTGTTTACACTTAAGGTTAACCATGAATTTCAATATACTGGTGGTTTAGGAAGGTGTGATCTGGAGAGCCTTTCTTGTTCTAGACCCTTAAATTTTTTCCATTTCTTCTTGCATAAATATTAGAAGCACAACTTTATTTATTTATTTATTTAAAAAAATTTATTTGGCTACACCAAGTCTTAGTTTCGTCATGTGGGCTCTTAGTTGCAGCATGTGGGATCTAGTTCTCCGACCAGGGATCGAACCCAGGCCCCCTGTGTTGGGAGCATGGAGTCCTAACCACTGGACCACCAGGGAAGTCCCTAGAAGCACAACTTTAAATAAACTAAAAATTGCTGTATAGTTACATTGCCTTAGCAAATAAAACTTTATTTTTTCATATTCTCCTCACTCATTTTCCATATGTGTATGTTTGTATAGATGCAGTTACAGTTTGTGTGCCACTTAACTACTTTTTTCTCATACACAATTTTGCTTTGTTTCTACATTGTTTTCACTTTTCACAGTTCTCATTTGTAATTACTGTGTAATATTCTGTCTAGTATTACAGTTCGATTTCATTCATGCTGTTTATGATTTTTTTTTTTATTATCGAAGAAAATGCTATAGTGACCATCTTCATGTAAGAGAGACTTTGTTTTGGAGTATATTCTTCTTGAAGTATATTCTGAGAAGCAGAATTACTATGGATGGAACCTTTACTGTTTTTAATTTGACTTTTGAATTCAAGATGTTGGAAAGACAAATCTGTTCATGAGGCAGTGATATGGTGCTTTCATTCTGCATTAAACCACCATTCACACTTGGAATTACCCATCAGTCACAACACATCCAAAACCTTTTTCCTTCATGGAAGAAAGATAAGCGATTTTCTCTAAGGGACTTATTTTACTTGGTGGTGTTCCCCTTGCTGGGTGATTCTGGTCAGCCTAATAGGCCTATCTGCAGATCCACCTCTGAGCTTTCCTGGATCCTGCAGATACCAGAGAACTGAAGATTTCCTTATTGTTTTGTCATCTTCTTTCCAGTTTCCAGCTGCACTGGAATTGGTTACTGCAGTGTGGTCTCATTTCTGCAGGCCGCCCCCTTGACATGATGGTCCAGGCCATTCTGTCCCAAGGATTTAACGTGGTCTTGAACTAGTATAACTTTCTCACTAGACTTCTTTGATCAATACCTTTTGTTTTTGATCTGTGTTCTTTCTTGTAAAAGCTGTCATCCTTGTGGTAGTTTATATTCCAAGAAAACAGTAATACCAGTTTATTTTTAGGCTGTATTCCTCATAGTCCTTGGGATTAGGGAATATAGGCTCCTCCCCTTCTCTTTGTTCACTCATTCATCACCATACGTTGTTGAGTACTATGTGCCCAGAATTGAACTAGATACTTACAAAAAAGAAAAAGGATTATTGTTCTCAGTTCAGTCTAATAGGGAGTTGGATGTATAAAGAGACATTGCACTTACATGTGGAAATAGGATTTCTAGAGATGTGCAGATATTAGAGGAACTGAGATGAAGGGTTCCTAACGCAGTCTGGGGTGGGAGGCCTCCTGGAAGAGATGTCCTCTTTTTTTTTTAATAATTTATGTTAACCTTTTATTTATTCACTTATTTTGGCTGCGTTGGGTCTTCATTGCTGTGCTCGGGCTTTCTCTAGTTGCAGCGAGTGGGGGCTACTCTTCGTTGTGGTGCGTGGCTTCTCATTGTGGTGACTTCTCTTGTTGTGAAGCACGGGCTCGTGGTCTTCAGTAGTTGTAGCACGTGGGCTCAGTAGTTGTGGTGCACAGGCTTAGTTGCTCCGCGGCATGTGGTATCTTCCCAGACCAGGGCTCGAACCCGTGTCCCCTGCATTGGCAGGCGGATTCTTAACCACTGCGCCACCAGGGAAGCCCGAGGTGTCCTCTTTACATAAGTATTTCCTGGGTTGTGTGTCTCACTTACAGCAAAGTTCTGAACAGTTGTACACCAAGTGTTATGGTCACCTTGATGAGAATAATATCAGCAATGACTCATGGGTGTGATATTGTCTAGAAGCCAGAGGGATTCCTGGCCCATCCCCGTTCTTCTCTGCCAGGGAGTTTGTGGTTCTGAGTTGGCTGTGATGAGTGTATAACTTGTTTGAGACCCCTCTCTCTCCTTCTTTTTACTCCCTTTGCTCAATGCATGATGGGAACCTGCATTTTCATTTCAGACTGATGGATTTCTGAAGGACAACAACAATGCTGCCCAGCGCCTCTTGGATGGGATGAACTTCATGGCTCAGTCGGTGTCTGAGCTTAGCCTTGGGCCCACCAAGGCTGTGACGTCCTGGCTGACAGACCAGATCGCCCCTGCCTACTGGAGGCCCAACTCCCAGATCCTGGTATGGTGTGGCAGGATGCCCTGCATCCCTGGCACGGCCCATTCTGCTTGTGCCGCTTTGCCCTGTCCTAAGCTTGCTCTGTGAGGGAGGCTCTGAATTTCTCTCTCGGATTAGCTCTCAGAGTGTTGGAAAGGGTGGGGTATGTTGAGGCAGCCAGTGTCCTCTTTGCCCACTGATTTCCCTTTGTTATTTTGCAAGTATTTTCCTTGCGGTGGATTTTAGTTTCTTTCCCTGCAAGGGCCAGTTATTATTGGTCAGATGTCTGAGGTCATACATATAGAATCTGGAGGAAAAGGGGCCATTAGAGGTCATTTAGGGTCATCCTCAGCTTGAGACATAAGCCTCATGGCACCTACAGAAAGGGAGCACCCAGCTTTGGCCCAAGCACTTGCGACAGGAAACCCGTTCCTCATCAGCTTCCCAGAGGCTCTTTTGAGAAGCCGTGAAAGCAGTGAATCCTCATTGCTCTCTTAGCTGGAACTGGTGTAGTCCCTTCTGGAACCCTGTGACTCAGCCAGATGGATTTGGTACCTTTCCAGGCACTTCTTGGAAGAAAATGTTAATCACAGCTGTGCTTCAGTAGTGGGTATTTTCATGTGGCTGGAGATCTTAGGTCCCATCCTTTGGGATCATCGGGGTCCTGCCGTTCCCAGATGGTCCTGGGCATCTCCCCCGGGTTGACTTTCTCAGCTGAGCAGACATGAATGTTACCTGCCTCTCTGTTTTGGGCTTGGAACAGAGCTGCAACAAGTGCGCTACATCCTTTAAAGATAACGACACCAAGCATCACTGCCGGGCCTGTGGGGAGGGCTTCTGTGACAGCTGTTCATCCAAGACCCGGCCAGTGCCGGAGCGGGGCTGGGGCCCTGCGCCCGTGCGGGTGTGTGACAACTGCTATGAAGCCAGGAATTCCCAGTTAGGTAACGTGGGGCCCGGGAACTGCATGGGTGGAGGGGGAACCTCTCTCCTTGGCACTGGGCGTTGGGAACGGGACTCCCACCTGCCTGACCCTGTTCCTCACCACGTCACTCTTCTGAGAGTAGCTGCTCCCCGGTCTTGCCCAGTCATCCTCTGAGCTCTTTGTTAACAGGGTCCTGGGGCGCTATTCCTTGCGGGGCGGGGGGGAGGGGGCGTGTTAAACCTGTCCTGTGTTTACCACAGGCTTTAGACTGAGTCTTATCTCTGGAGGAGGTTCTAGGTCATGCTCCTTGAACCCTTCTGGCTCACTGTAAGGGAAGGTTATAAAATAGCCCCAGAGGATTGAGGTAAAGGACTAACAACTCTCACCGGCTGCAGTGTTGGTGCCCATAGCCCAGACCCTTGCCATCCTTGCAGGACAGCACAGTGGTACCCTGGGAGAAGCATCCAGAACGCTCTGCCGTTGCCCCTGAGTCTTGCATTTGGGAAATGACTGAGAGATCACAGCTTTTCCTTCATCATTGTCTGCAGATGTTACTGAGGCACAGGCGGACGATGAAGGCGGGACGCTGATTGCTCGGAAGGTGGGCGAGGCCGTGCAGAACACTTTGGGAGCTGTGGTGACAGCCATTGACATACCACTAGGTGGGCCTGGCAGTGCCTCTCTTGGGTGCAGTGTATGTGGGATGAAGGCTTTCATAGTGCCTTGGGCTGTTGTTTTGTCCAAGTCTTACTGACCTAGATTGAGTTGGGCAGCAAGGAAGTGACTGAAAATTTACATTTGCTTCTGCTGAATACCTTGGTGGTTTCATGTTTATTCCTGGAGGCCATCCTCTTATATCATTTATTGCTGCATAACAAACTACCTGAAAACGTAAAGGCTTAAAACAACCCGCATTTTATCATGTCTCACAGGAAGGGCAATTATTTTGCTCCAAGTGGCATTGACTGGAATTACTGCTGGATTTTCCAGTCTGGTAGCTGGACTGGTCTCGAGGGGCCAAGCCAACCTCACTTACATGCTGGGTAGCCTGGCAGGGATGCCTCGAAGGCTGGGCTCAGGAGAACTCCCCCCGCCATTCCCCATATTCTCCAGGCCTCTCCACGTGGTTTCTCCAGTGGTAGTGGGCTTCTTACATGGTGGCTCAGGACTCTGAGACAGGCCTGGGCCTAGAAACTGGCTCTTCTGCTACAGTCCGCTGTAGTCACAGAGCCTGCCTAGATTCGAGGGAGGGGTCAGGTTATCAAAGAATTTGTGGCTGTCTTTAATCCGCCACACCAGCCAAACTGTTATTCCTTTAAGATTTAAGACAGCCACTCACCTCTGAATGTGAGGGGTGCTTATAACCAGGATGGGAAGAGGGAGAGGAAGGGAAGCCCCGCCAGCGTGTGGAGGGCTTAGGCAGGACTGGCCGGGCCTAGGGTATTTAAGCCCACTGTAGGGGAGAGACCAAGCGTTCCTGGGTGGGTGTGATGGAGATGCTTGGATCAGATTTAATCACTGCGGCTCTCTCACAATGAGCTGATCATGAGTTTTTGACTTAAGGGTGTGGGATAGATGGGTTTGTCGAGGCTTGATGCTGAGGTTGCATCTGCTCTCAGGGGTAACCGGGAGAGGCAGGGGCTGCCCTTGGCACAAAGTCTGCCAACTGTGCTCACAGGTGCTCACCTGCTGAGCACTCACTGGCCATTGGGTCCCAGTGCATCAGACACATTATTTCTTGTAATCCTGTAACCACTTTTGAAGGTGTGTTGTTAAAGATGAGTAAACTAAGGCCCTGAGAATTTAAGGAACTTCTTAATCCCGCAGCTACCAACTGACTTAGGCTCAGTGGAACTGGGGTGAAGGTATGTCCTGACTCCAAAGCCCAAACTTCTTTATTGTTACTCCACTGGTTCTTAATCCAGCCCCACTTTAGGCTCACTTGGAGAGCTTAGTAGATACACAAATGTTAGTGCCTAGGTCCCAGCCCCAGAGATCCTGACCTGGGTGGTAGGCGGTGAAGGAGACCTGGGTGGAAGGGGGGTGATCTGTGTGCAGTCAGACTGAGAGCCAGTGAAGTGTCTGCGGATGGCTTCTTGCCTCGTGGAACTCGGGGTGATGGGTCCCACGTGTGCCGCCTGCCATGGTTCCTTCCGTGCTGCAGGTCTGGTGAAGGATGCGGCCAGGCCGGCGTACTGGGTACCAGACCATGAGATCCTGCACTGCCATAACTGCCGGAAGGAGTTCAGCGTCAAGCTTTCCAAGCACCACTGCCGGGCCTGCGGACAGGGCTTCTGTGACGAGTGTTCCCATGACCGACGGGCTGTCCCCTCTCGAGGCTGGGACCATCCTGTCCGAGTCTGCTTTAACTGCAATAAAAAGCCTGGTGACCTTTAACCCCAGCGCCCTCTCCGAGTCCTTCACAATTCCTTAGGTTCTCAGGGTTAGAAATGAAATCTCGCTGAGGTAGGCCCTCCTCCTGGTCACCTGTTGGGGTGTGTGTCCTCTCTGCTCATCCTGAGGCCACTTTCCCACGGTGGGGGGTAGGACAGATGGCGAGCCAGGGTGAGCCTGGTGGTGGGCCTGAAGGCACGAACCCCTCAGGGCAGGGGACCGAGCAGCTTATAGCGAAGGGGAACGAACCTGAATCCATCGCATTTTATTTCAGTTAAAAATTATACATATCACACACACACACACACACACACCCTGTATATACATATGAAAGGAACATGGAGTGTATTCAGGCTGCTGCTGGCTGTGAAGACCTGCACAGTCTGTCCCCAGCACAGAATCAGGTGGCAGTGGTAGCAGGTCTTCCCCACAAAACCGAGCCATGTCCAAGGCCACTGCGTTGCTAGTCACCTTTTGCTGCTGCTTTCCGAGCCTTCGAAGCCTTCATGCCCCTCAGCTGCTGGGGCAAGTGAGCTTCCCAGGTACTTCTCTCTTGGGATAGCCTGTGGAGGATCTCCCTGGGCCCTCCAGAGTCAGATCCCAATTCCTTGCCTAGGCATGTTGTGGTCAGAGACCACCCAGCTTAGCATGCAGGTCATGGATGGGTGGCAGGTGGGGGGTACGGTCCTCAGACCTCGGAAGTCCAAGTGCAGGTGACGCGATGGCCCTCATACAGGGGGAACACGGAAGGAGATGGGCCTTCCCCAGCAGTGTTTCCTGCTTGTTGATGCTTCCGTCTATGCGAGCACTTGGCTTTCCCTGCCCAGAAATAGAAGCACCTGCTTCCCTCCCCTACCAACCCCCTTGAGCCCACCATCTACTGAGTGTTGCACTAGGGTTTCTGCTTGTTTTGAAGCATCTTAATTCTTTATTCCCAGACACACGACCCCTCTAGCTATTGGCGGGGTGATCATGAGAAATCTTCCAGGGAAACAGAGCACAGAATGGACTGTTAGTGGGGTTTTTTTTTAAGTATATATAAATATTTCAACAGACCACTAAGAAAAAATTCTCTCTCCGGTCCTGGCAAGAGAAATCAGATGAACTTTGTTTCTCAAGAGCTGGGACATCCATTTCTATCATGACTGGAAAGAGACTGTTGTGCTGAAATGCTGTCATCATGGTGGATTTTATCGTCAGTGGCCAAAAATGAAGAATTAAAAGTGACACAGTTCTTGACTGAACTGGTGGGTGGGCCGAGCTTCAGGGAGGTGCGTGGCGGTCATTCTCGGCGTGAGTGTTACTGTAACGTGAGCCCTGGAATGTGTCGGTCCCTCTCAGACCTGCTTCCTTACTGCCTCCTATGGCCTATGACCGAGGCCCTGCTCTAGTACTGTGTATTATTAAATTCGCCGTTATAAAGGAATCTTCCTGCGGAATATGGACTGTGCTGCTTTCCTTTAACTTCATCAGTGTATCTTGCTACCTCTTTCTAGTTAAGAAAGTAGCTGGTGGCTTTTAGAGCAGAAGCCAAGTGAGAGGTATATTTTACCTGTAAATACCTCAGTTTATTCCCGGCGAATCCTCTATCATCACAGAAGAGAGTAGGTGTTACTAGTGACCTATGGAAACCCTGGGAAAAGACTGTTTTCTCCCTTTGTACCTGTTGCTCTTTGTTCCTCTGCCCTGCCTTGCTTTGTCTGTTCAGCTCCTGTTGAACAACCGCTATCCACTGTCTCCTGTTCTGTCATTTAGGGGCACCCCTGAGCGTGGGAGGATGCTGGACCACATAGGGAGGATGCATAAGTCTTCCGAACGCTCTTCCTTACGCTAGTCAGACCAATAGAGGAAAAGAAGGTAACCCGGTGTCAAAATAACCAAAGGTTCTCTTTTCTTGCCCTACATGCCCAGGGTTCATCTTTTTCTTTTTTTAAAATATTAATTTTTTTTTGCGGTACGCGGGCTTCTCACTGTTGTGGCCTCTCCCGTTGCAGAGCACAGGCTCCGGACGTGCAGGCTCAGCGGCCATGGCTCACGGGCCCAGCCGCTCCGCAGCATGTGGGATCTTCCCGGACCAGGGCACGAACCCGTGTCTCCTGCACCGGCAGGCGGACACAACCACTGCGCCACCAGGGAAGCCCCAAAATTAATTTATTTATTTTTGGCTGCATTGGGTCTTTGTTGCTGCGCCCGGGCTTTCTCTACTTGCGGCGAGCGGGGGCTACTCTTTGTTGCGGTGCACTGGCTCTAGGCACGTGGGCTTCAGTAGTTGTGGCACACGGGCTCAGTGGCTGTGGCTCATGGGCTCTAGAGTACAGGCTCAGTAGTTGTGTCACATGGGTTTAGTTGCTCTGCAGCATGTGGGATCTTCCCAGGCCAAGGCTTGAACCCGTGTCCCCTGCACTGGCAAGTGGATTCTTAACCACTGCGCCACCAGGGAAGTCCCAGAAAATTATCTTAAGGAGATCTTAAACTTCCAGAGGAAAAGTAAAAATTCCATTCCCTCCAACACATGGGGCCTAATAGATTTCTTGAGCAGGAGACCCCGTTGGCTCTGCTACTTATTAGCAGGAGACCTTGGACAAATTGCTTTATTCTCAGCTTTTTCTTTGGTATATAGGAGTGACCTTCACGTGCTTCGTAGGGTTCTAAGAATTAAAAGGGAATAATGCTGGCAAAAATTGTTCATTCAACATACTAAGTGTCTAGATGTGGTAAGTGCTGGGGAAACTAAGCTTCCTCGAGGTTTCTGTGAAGCTGAGACTCAACAGATGAAAGGAGTGGAGGACAGCTTGAGCAGAGGCCCAGATGACGGAGGGACTTGTAACATGTGTCCTGAGAGCGCCAGGTGGGAAGTGGAGAAGGGGCAACAGGGTGAGGCACATGTGATCAAATCTCAAGATGCCGCACATTTTATTCTGAGGTACAAGAAGGCGTTGAGTGCAGGGATCTTTGGGAAGGTCATTCCCGTGGCAGTGGCCATGTGGTGGGTGGCCTGGAGAGGCAGACTTAAAGGAGTGGGCCCAGGGAATTCCCTGGAGGTCCAGTGGTTAGGACTCTGTGCTTTCACTGCCAACGGCCCAGGTTCAATCCCTGGTCGGGGAACTAAGATCCCACAAGCAGCGTGGCGTGGCCAAAGAAAATAAATAAAAATGAAAGGAAAGGCTTTTACTAACATACATGAATGGAGAAATGGAAGAAGAAACTGAGTTTAGCCTGCAGTTGTTTTCAGAGGTGGTAACATGGAAGATTTAGACCAGGGCAGATCGAGGGCTGACAGGTAAGTGGGGCTTACTTGGTCTCTGGGTGCCCTTGTTGGGGGACACCAAGTGTTGATCTGTGGACGTTTCTGGTAACCAGTTTGTGCCACCGTTCTCATCTGTTTAGAAGGCTACAGCAAGCAAACAGCAAAGGGTTTACTGGAGCTCAGTGCTGCTGCCACCACCCCCTGCTCATTCGCTACCTTTCACTGTCACCTGGGGAATGGGGCAAAATGCCCTAACAGACCTGCAAGTGAAGAATGCTTCCAGACTGTGCAGCATACTAATCTTTGGGCCACTAAGAAGCAAACATACCAAAATGCTTAATCAGCTTCTCTGCTGAGTTTAACCACTTCTCATATACTCTAGACCAGGGGTCCCCAACCCCTGGGCCGCAGACCCGTATTGGTTGGTGGCCTGTTAGGAACTGGGCCGCACAGCGGGAGGTGAGCTGCGGGCAAGCGAAGCTTCATCTGCCGTTGTTCCCCCGCCCCGCCCCCCACCCTGGTCCGTGGAAAAACTGTCTTCTGCAAAACCGGTCCCTGGTGCCAAAAAGGTTGGGGACCGTTGCTCTAGACCAAATGTTAGGTGCAGTGACTGCTCACTGAAGATAAAGAACAGATTTTGAAGATGTCCCCCACCTCCTTTTCTTAAAAGCCTAAGGGAAACATAAAACTAATTCTTTGACAACTGTATTTGCCTAGCAAGAAATCTGGGCTATGGCACAGCTGATGAGTTAGGGAGGTATACAGGGATAGAGCCCCACATGTCAGAACTCACCAGGTATTCTGAGTAGTCAGTCGTCTCCACTGTCTGTGAGATCAAAGTTGGACTGAATAGCCACAGCTCCATTGAAATAGTACAGAATAGTGGCAAAGGCTCTTCACCAGAGGTGCAATACCAGTGACTGTAAAGAGCAGATCATGTAATGAACAAAGTAGTATGTTGTGAGAACTTTTAACTTTGGGGGCAAAAGTATGAGTGATATTAGGGTCATGGCTCAGCACTTATGCTTTTTTGTGCTCTTGGGGAGGGGCATGTCACCAAAATTAATCCAAAAGACCCTGCTGTGGCTGCGGTCACCAGAACCCTTCAATCATACAGCTATTTCCTGGGACCTATGTTCAGGTCGGTATGCCAAGGCTGTAAAGATACAGGGGTGATGTTTCAAAAATTAAACACCTAAGAAATTTGGTAACTGGCAAGCTTCTTAGTCTTTGGTGAGTGCCAGAAAAGTTCATTTACTTAGCAATTAAATATGAAATGTTAGCACTGCATGTTTACACTCGCACCAAGCCACTTTGTGATTTCTCCTCAGCACTAGCTGTGTGTGATACACAAGTACTGTCAGCAAATAGAGGAGTGTGGAAAGTAGAGAACGTGATCTCTTCTGGTTCCAAGTCCCAGCTCTCCACTTAACAGGTCTGCGTGGAGGCAAGTCATTCAATTTCTCTGTGCCCAGAAAATGATGCTAATAATTTTTATGTTATTACTACTGTCCTGCCTCCTTCATACGTTGTTTTAAGGATCAAGTCAGCTAAGGTGGAGGAAAGTTATTTATAAAACCTAAGGCACTAAAAGTATTTGTTTTAGTCATCTACCAGATGACCAATCTGATACTCTCATGTTTTTTGGATTGCTCTCTCTGTACCTAGTAGGGTTCTGGCAGGACACAGATGCATAACACTCAAGGGGGTAACTGAAGAGAGTTCAACTGGTGAAGCACCCTGGGCTAGCAACAGTGAGATGCAATTATCAGCTGTAGGTCTGAAGGGACAAATGGAGAGAAGTTACTGGAATCCAGAGAGCTGTGTTCCAGCAGAAGCTGTAGACTTGGGTAGAGGAACACAACCACAGCCCATCACACCCCAGCAGAAGGGGAGTCAGGGAACTAACAATCCCTCAGTCTTCTGCCTTCTGCCATCCTGCTGCTACATCCCATAGGCTGAACCCACCCTGGGCCAGGGAGCCTGCTGAGGTAGTCCATAGCTTCTTGGGGCACAGGAGCAAGTGGAAACTTTCCAGCAGAGCCATTAAAACTGGTCTCAGTTTCTTCCTCACACTGGGTTTGAGCAGATGTTGGTTTGATGCTACAGCAGCCAAGCATCACGATCTTCTAAACCATTAACAGAAGCAACATGCCATGTCTGGTTCTTTCTACGTTCTAGTTTATTGTTTGGTAGAAAGGCTCTTTGTATTAACGCATTGTATAAACATCTCACAAACTGCTTTTCCTAAATTACAAAAGTCAAAGCCAATTTTCTCTGAGATGGGGCCCTTGAATCTGACATTCAGGTCACCATGATAGAAACAGGAGCTGCTGTACCTAACATTCTGGAAGGTACTTCAACATATGCATTCTAAGGCCTGTCTAGCATCTAAAAGGATCCATCTTTCCTTACAATGCCTATACATGGTAATGAATGAGAATCCCAGAGATCTGACACTGGTTATCGAGTGCGTTTGAGAAGGCTAGTTTAATGATTCCCAACTCAGCCGTAAAATCTCTAGAGACTCAGATAAATGACTCCCCCTTCTCTCCAGCTGGCTTTCTCAAGTATAGATGCATGTCTTTCTGGGACCCAGGCACTGACTGTCAGCAGTCTCACCCAGTTTCATCATTAGGCTTCTTGAAAGGGCTTTTGGTGAAAGCAGCAGCTTTAGTTATTGTCAATCTTCAGCCCTTAGAAAAGTATTTTTTGTTAAAAAAAAAAAAAAGGTGGAGGAACTATTCTAAGGAATTCAACAAGGAAATAGGTACCTTTTATGAAAAGGACTTTTAAGCTTCTTGAACCCACAACTTAACTGAAATAACTTAACTGAAGTGTCTCCACATAAAATATAGCACCTTTTCCCCAGCAGCTGGATGGATGGGATATGCATACACAAGAGCATCCATCTGAAATGCCCTCACTGAAAATGGCAATTGTGGCAAAAATATGGCTACCTATGCTCCCCTGAGTCACATCCACGGCTCTCCAGGCTGCAACCTGCAGAATTAGCTGTAGGAGAAGCAGTAAAGGTCCTGTTGGATGGCCATGAGCAGCCCTGGCGCTCCCCGGAAGCCCCCAAGCCGAGAAGAGAAGGCCACACTGGGAATGTCGGCCTTGGAAGTGGGGTGTGGGGAGGGTATGGTTCTGAGCAGCTGGGCATCATGGAGGCTCCAGATTCTCGTGTAGCAGTCCTGGCCCACTAAGAAAGAGAGAAGACACGTGGCAAGTTAGAGAATGCAGAGAGCCTGTGTACTTGTGGCCCTGGCTTCTATGATTCCTAAGGGCTAAAGGTAATTTCACATGAGCCAAACAAACTCACAAATGGAAATTATTTCTACTGATAAGATGTCCCTTTTGAAAATTAAAGTTACAGGACTTCCCTGGTGGTGCAATGGTTAAGAATCCACCTGCCAATGCAGGGGACACGGGTTCAAGCCCTGGTCCGGGAAGATCCCACATGCCGTGGAGCAGCTAAGCCCATGCGCCACAACTACTGAGCCTGCTACAATTACTGAAGCCTGTGTGCCTAGAGCCCGTGCTCCACAACAAGAGAAGCCACCGCAATGATAAGCCCACGCACCGCAATGAAGAGTAGCCCCCACTCGCCGCAACTAGAGAAAGCCTGTGCACAGCAACGAAGACCCAACGCAGCCATAAATGAATGAATGAATGAATAAGAAAAAGAAAATTAAAGTTACAGGTTGCCCTGGTGCTTTAGAACCACTGATTGCAGGTGTTCAAAGTGACAAGATGCACTGGCTGGCTGGGACACCCTGGGGTGTTCACGGGGCATCTTGGCTATCAGGTGACCCATTCTGCTTTTCTTGGTGACAAGGGCTATTCAAGAGGGAGCCCAGGCCACCTGTTCTAGATGACATGCAGCTGATTTCCTTTTTATGAGAGAGTAACCAGGAAGATCTCATAACTTCATTACATCCTGGGGACAAATCAGGTGACAACTCTCCCCAGAGCATTTTCTGGTTTAATGATTCAGTTCATAAGACTTCATAGTCTTTCAGGGTTCATAGTTGAGAGGAATCTGATACCTGACACCACTGGTTACAGCAACTCAGATAGGAAATAAGTGCTACTGGAGATCTTCAGGGGGAGAAGGGCAGACCTTAGGCATCACGGATTTTAGTGTGCTTTTGACCATCTGAGTTGACTCTATGACCTTAGCTGTGGTTCATTCAGGTTGTACAATTCAAGGATTACTGCAGCCAGCCCACTCCCCACATCTGCCTCTCAACAAGGCTCATATCTTTTCTACTGTCCAGAACACAGAAACTCTCTGGAGATGAAAATTTGTGGAAAACAGACTTAAGGAAGCTAATTACTGGTGGTGGTGACAGTAGTAAATAAGTCTAAGGAAGTTGTAGCCAAGTGATGCTTCTTAGCCACAGAAAGTTTCATAGCAAATAAATACTTTCTGTAGGAATATTAGAAAATTTGACATCTGTGAAGACTGGAAACATATTCCTTAATGCCAAGGGCCTACTATTTCGTTTGTCAAACTGCCAAATAATCATATAATCTGTGATCAACTTGTTAACTCCTTTCAAGGGGGTTTGCTGCTAGAAAGCTCTGCTTCTATTCTACAAATCATGGGTTCACAGCAGTGGTGTTAAAGGAACCAGGTTCCTTTACAATGACCTCCATCTCTTTTCTTAGCATCCTCTGGTGGAAACGGGAGCACAAAGAACAGGGAGCCCAAGCTTTTCGACAGGACAGCTGCACGATGGGATTGAGGGTCACACTGAATGCTGACCTGGTGAATAGGCTTAAACTCCACACCCAGGTCTCCTAAACCACTGTTTTATTGCTCCTCACTCATCTGTAACTGAAGTGACATTTGCCCAGTCACGTGGGGACACAGGGCTATCCACCTGGTGAGTGTTAGAACTGTTGCTTACTAATGTCCAACTCTACATCCCATCTTAACTCCCTGACCCCAACTGTCCAAAATCCCCTTTATTCAGTTTCGTTTTAGAGTAACTTCTCCCTTATCTGCTTAAGTTGCTGGCGCTCCTAAGGGACAGTGTTTGATGGGATGATCTCCTCCTCCCCAGGTACCTGCCACCACGATTCCTTCTTCCTCATGCACGTGCAGGGGCAGGTGGGCATACTCGTTCACGTGCCCTTCATACTGCCTAATACACTTAGTGGTCCTCAGGTCCCACAGCTTGATCTGTGGGAAGAAGCACAAGGGGTGGTTAGGGAGGGTCCAACAGGTACACTGGTGAAGCCCAGGCACGAAGCCAGAGAGGGCAAGGTGGTCTCCAAAGACCTCTTCAAGTTAGAAAATATGTCTCAAACCCCCGAGCCACAGAGTCCATCAAAAGCACCATGACCAGTTTCACGTCTGTTTAGACCAGATTGGGCTCCCAGTGGGCAGCAAAGCAGCTGCCCCGCACAACTCCCAACTCACCTGGTCTCCAGATGCCTTTCCCCTGCCGCCATCTGACGTCAGGGTCTCTCCTGCAGAGCCCCTCCCCCCACCCAGAGCCAGCTCCAGCGGCTGGAGAAAGTGGTATCCGTACCGTTCCAGCCATGTCGGATGCCATCAGGCATTGCTCCTCTTGCAGGATTTGCACAGAGGTAACTGCTGAGTCATGTAACAGGCGGGTGGCTTTCCAGCCCTTGCCCTGATTTCGACAACGGAGATCAATGGCAAAGATTTCGCCGGAACGACAGCCATTAAACAGCAAAGGAGCCTGCGGAAAGGGGGCCTGCTCAGTACCTCCCTCCCAAGGCTGGGAGGGGTGTGCCCTCCAGAATACACCCCTGCCTCCGCTCCCCTATCCCAGCCCCTAGGTCAGAGGTATGCGTGGAGCAGGTTGGTTAGGGTTTGAGCCTCAGTGAAGATGGAAGGGTTCCTTATCAAAGGGTCAAGAACTGGACACCATGTGTCCCTCCAGTGTCCTCCCCACTGGCTGCCAACTGGCCCCTAAGGCCTCACCCTGAACCCCTCCCTGTGAAGTGAGGGTGTGCCCTCACTCCTCCCAGGTCGTTAGTGAGAAGCTGGGTGATGAGAGTGGAGTAAGAGAGATCAGAAATCCAGGTAAGACATGGGGTCCCAGACTGAGTGGGAAGATGGCTGAAGAAACCTGAATAATGAATTCTGCGCTTATTGCCCAAAGCAGGTTGGCACATCTTCCACCCTTTTAAAGAAAGGTGGCATTTTTTTTTTTTTTGCGGTACGCGGGCCTCTCACTGCTGTGGCCTCTCCCGCTGCGGAGCACAGGCTCCGGACGCGCAGGCCCAGCGGCCATGGCTCACGGGCCCAGCCGCTCCGCGGCATGTGGGATCCTCCCAGACCGGGACACGAACCCGCGTCCCCCAAATCAGCAGGCAGACTCTCAACCACTGCGCCACCAGGGAAGCCCGAAAGGTGGCATTTTCTACAGGTCAAGTCTTTGAAACGTAGTAATGACTAGAATTTTGATTTTTAAATTTATAAAATGTGTAACTTGACAGCTGCAGATAAAAGTGTTATGAATTGGGACATATTTAATTTATACATTAAAAAGTTTTACTGTCCTGCTGGCTAATCCAAGTACTCAAGAATTGCTAACAATTCATAAGTGGTTTAAAGGCAGCTGAGCCACGCCCTTCCGGATCAGCCAAATTTCATTCAGCGCTGACTTATTCACCAAGTAACCTGTTAATCACTTCTGGTGCCCTCCTTCTCCCTGTAAAAGAGGGAGGAGGACTAGACTCCACACAGGGGAATCCCATTCCAATCCAGCAAAATGTCCACTCTTGGGAAACTTTCTGTCAGGCCCTTCCCAATCCAACCAACCATAACAGCAAACTGCTGGGCCAAGACGTCACTGCTGGTCCCAAATGACTGCCGGTGTCCCGTCACCACGCTGGTCACCAGGACTCGCCGAGACAAGCCTGACAGAGACGGAGATGGGCGGACAGTGTCACTCGAGGTGTGGGGAGAGGGACTGTGGACAGGGGCTTAGGGTCTGTGAAATCCTTTACCCTGGGCACCTGGGGAGGCAGCCGTAGCTCACCTGTACTAAAGCAGTTATTTGCCTGGATGTTCAGGGACCACGCACAGGACCAGGCCCCGGGGATCCGGAAACTGCAGAGCATGCCAGGCCGGTCTCCTGCTGAGGGGACAGTGGTAGTGTTAGAAAGACTAACAGCTATCAGGGAGGCAGTATGGTGTCAGATAGGAGGGTTTCAATTCCAGCTATGTGGTCTCAAACTTTTTTCAAAAATAATTTCTTTAAATTGATAAAACATACATTAAGGGTACAAATCATAGTATACACTCTAACGTATACTATGTGAAGTATAGCTATGTAACCACTACCCAGGTTAAGAAATAGAACATTCTAGTACCCTGGTACCCTTCCTGTCCCCTCCCAATTACTACCCTCCTCACGCCTCCCTAAAGCGAACCACTATCCTGACTTCTCACACCATCTTTTGGTTTTGTAAGGGAAATTCCGAACTTCTTTTTGCCTCAGTCTCCTCATCTGTAAAACGGTGATAATATATACTCCCACCTCATAAGCTTGCTGTATGATGAAATGCCAGGCACCAGGGTAAGTGCGCGTGAAATCATTTAATCTTCCATGTAACCTGAGGGGGCAGGTATTTACTTTAGAGAGCTTAAGTGATCTGTTCAAACTGGTAAGGGGCACAGCTGGGATTCATGTCAGGTCTGCCTGAAGCCTGCACTCTTAGAGGCCTGATCCTTGTCTAATTGATCCTAATTCTCTGAAAGACTGAAAACTTAATATCCAGAACGCTGCCAGGCAGTTGGACTGCGTTCAGCCAGGCAGAATGTAAGTATCCCTGACAGAACCTGCCATACAGTAGGAGCTTAACAGATGCTCTCTGGGCGATCTATATAGGCAGCCCCAATAAATATTTTCATCTCTTGTACTGGTTACACACACTTTTAACTGTTCCGGCTGCTGAAATGACCCAAAAGGAGGGGATAAGTGAAGATGCACATGCTTCTAGTACAAATCCTGGGTCAGGTTTAAGAAATCCTCCCAGGTGCTCTGCAGACTGTCCCCACCCTGCGAGCTCCGACTTGGGCTCACCAGCCCATGGTTCCCACCCCTCCTGTCCAAGCCATCACCACGGAGCTTATGCTGCTGTTGGCTGCAGCTCCTGGGAGGCAAAGGACAAAGATGCCCCTTAGCACCTCCTTATCCAAAGGAAAAGGACCCCTTGTACCTGGATGACTACTGACAAACAATGACGCTGGGAGCAGGGTGGCACAGCCTGGAGTCTCTGCAATTCCCATGAGGCACAGCCTGGAAAAGCCGTTAAGGACAGCCAAGTACAAGTCTCCTCTGGGAGGAGAAGGGGCATCAGTACCCTTCGAAAAAGGTATAATAATACCCATCATCCACATTTAACATGTTTACATTTTCCATATTTAGTTTCAGATTTTTTAAAAGGAAGAAAATGTCACAGATACAGTTAAAGGCCCCCTTTTAACTTTCCTCCACCCAGAGAGCATCGCTATTCTAAAACTGGTCTGAGTTCTAGGCCTTAATATTTCCACTACACATTTGTCCATCAACAATATAAAGAACACATTTATGTGTTTGATTTTAAAACGCATGTAAATGGCATCACACAGAATCTCCTACAACAGCTCAATCTGCATTGTCTCCTAGATGCAACTGTATTCATATTTGTAACTCCAGTTCATCTGTTTTCACCGCAGAGCATTCCTTTGTATGAACAGACCACAACTTATTTATCCGGTCTCCTGCTGATGAGCACTGAGATGGTTTTCGCTTTTTTTCCCCCTCTGCTGCTGAAATAAGCCTCTCTTCCTATCCTCCTGTCTCCCACTCCCATGTATGGGAGGCTTCTCTAAGACAGTTTCTTACATCTGTGGTTAAGAATTTCATTTTTCACCACAGTGTGCTATATACACACAAACATTTGAAACAAAAGTTTCATAAAATATTTACACTTACTAAATATGAAACTGATATTTTCTAACCTATTTCATTAAAAAAAAAAAGCTGCTCAATAAGCTGATTTCCTGGGCCACAGTTTATAGGACAGGTCGTGACTCACAGTTTGAAAACACTGGTATACCTAGAGTGGAACTGGGGGGTTGTAAAGTACACGCATCTCCAACTTGAAGTGGCTGTATCGTTTACTTATACCAGCATTTCCCCCCATTCTCCACCTAGGCCAAAACTTGGCACTATCAGACCTTAAAAATCGTGTTTATCTGAATGGGCATAAAATATCTTTTAACTTGCATTTCTCTGAACTACATCTGATTATAGTTATTTGCGTTTCCCTTACTGTGAACTGCCTCTTTATATCCTTTGTCTGCTTTTCTATCGGACTGTCTTCTGACTGATCTGTTTCCTTTCCCTTTCCCTTCAGAGCTTCAAGAGGAGCCTGTGTTTATCCCCACTTCCTCGCCTTTCTTTTACTCTTCAAGCCACTAAAATCCAGGTCAGACCCTCACCTTTCCAGTGAAATGTTCTCCCCAAGATCTCCAGTAAGCTCCTAATACTAAATGTGATGAAGGATTTCCAGTCCTACCCCGGGCCATGCAGCACAATTTCTACCTATACACTCCTTCTTGGCCTCCACAACCACTCTCCTGGCGTTCCATCCTTGGACCTTCTATCACCAAGATTCCCTGGTCTAGGTCCTAAGCCTCTTAAACTCGTGTCTCTCCTCCATTCCTGCTCATCAGTTCACACCCTCCCCACCACCGTCCTTAGTCTTGCAACAGCCTTCCATCCGAGGTCTCACCCTCACCAGCCTACCACCTTCACTGCTATACGAGAAATGAATCCATGACTACAGTCCTCCAGGGGCATCCCATAGCCCCAAGGATTTGGTTTTGCAAGGCACTACCTAGCCAGAGACGTCACTGATACCAAACCACTTACTGCTGCCAAATGTGCCAAGCTTTCTTCTCACTCTTCTAATGGGAGCTCCATGCCCTCCGGGAACCACCACCAGGAAGGCCACCCCAATCCCTGCACCCTACAATTCCCCATTGACATCACTGCAAAGACTGATCACCTGCTGAGGTGCCCAGCTCCAGCACCTTGCACAGGGATTCTAGATGCCCAATAGATGCTGGTGGGATCAACACACACACCTCACTGAAAATGTACATCTTTGCCAAGCAACACCTCACTGAAAAAGGTACATCTTTGCCAAGCAATCAGGCAACGATCTTGACCATCTGAATGTGTGACGTGTGGGTATCATGTTGCCTTGGGTGGTAAGCCCCATGTTAAATATCTCTAGTATAGAGGCTGCTGAAACTATAAATGAGAACACTGTATCTGGGCAGCTCAATTCCTTCTGAGATAAATCTCTTTTCCTCCTACGTTTGTAGGGCAAGGATGTGGGAGAAAGTCCTTACCCATGTGCACTTACCCATGTTACTATGGCTGAAACCCAGGTTACACTCAATCTTTGTATCACACTTACAAGGCCATATCATAGAGCTAATCCTTTAAAAGGCCACAGGTCAATGAAGAACCTGCTAAGTGTAGAAAAAGTTCAGTCTAACCTCCCACCACTCTTTGGGGAAAAGCGCAGAGTGCAGGTCTGAACCATGTGTCATTTTTGTAAAGGAAGAAAGTTTAAGACCTTCAGCAGAAGCATCAGGTGCACAAAAGCCTGAAGATTACCTGAAATGACCACCAGAGGGCAAGCCGCTGATCAAACCACAGTAGACCACACTCCTTTCTTTTACTGTGCTTTCCTTTGCTGCCCCTCACAGATAGTGTTGTTTTTTTTTCTTCAAATTGAAGATTTGTGGCAACCTGGTGTTGAACAAGTCCACTGGTGCTATTTTCCCAGTGGCATTTGCTCATTTTGTGTCACATTTTGGTAATTCTCACAATATTTCAAACTTTTTCATTACTATTTTGTTAATGGTGATCTGTGATCAGTGATCTTTGATGTTACTATTGCAAAAAGATTATGACCTGTTGAAGGCTCAGATTAGTACTTTTTAGCAACAAAATATTTTTAAGTTAAGGTATGTACATTGTTTTTCAAACATGATGCTACTGCACAGTTAACAGACTATAGTATAGTGTAAACGTAACTCTTATATCTATATCTGTCTATCTCTGAGGTATGCCTATACATGGATTTTTTTTTTTTTTTGCGGTACGCGGGCCTCTCACTGTTGTGGCCTCTCCCGTTGCGGAGCACGGCTCCGGATGCGCAGGCTCAGCGGCCATGGCTCACGGGCGCAGCCGCTCCGCGGCATGTGGGATCTTCCCGGACTGGGACACGAACCTGTGTCCCCTGCATCGGCAGGCGGACTCTCAACCACTGCGCCACCAGGGAAGCCCCTATATATGGATTTTTATCCTCACAAAGAGAAGCATGGATAAATGCCATATTGTCTGAAGATCAGAAATGAGAGCGAGGTTCTTGTTTTCTCTTTTAAGGCTTGATCTCTTCTGCCCTCTGGTAAGATCAAGACAGTAACAGGTGGTCCCGTCACCCCACAAACCCCACCAAATGAAAGCCACAGAAAACTTTCAATTTACAGAACACACAGTTTTGTGTTTGTCTTACATAAAAGTTATAATCAGATCTCTAATGTGCTTTAGGCTTTAAAACCCTTTGAGGGACTTCCCTGGGGGTCCAGTGGTTAAGACTCCGTGCTCTCAGTGCAGGGGACCTGGGTTCGATCCCTGGTCAGGGAACTAGATCCCGCATGCGGCAACTAAGAGCCCACATGCCACAACTTAAAAAAAGAAAGAAAGAAAGAAAAAAAGGATCCCACGTGCCGCAACTAAGACCCAGGGCAGCCAAATAAATAAAATAACAAACAAACAACCCTCCCCCAAAACAAAAAAAAAAACCCCAAACCAACAGATTCCAATTCAGGCATCATTTGTTGGGGGCCCATGACACGGCCAAGCACTGTGCTAAGTGTATTCACAGATGTTAACTAGTTAACCTTATGACAACTCTGAAGCTGGCGTTAGGTATGACAAGTGGTCACATAGTTTCATTTATGTGAGCGAACTCAGTTATTATGGAAATGAACCACAACAAGACTCATTAACATGTGCCTTTGGCTTTGGGTCAAACAGTATCACTCCATGAAGGACACGACGGACAGCTGTCCTCTGCATCATCAAGAGACCCCAGGGGGCTTCCCTGGTGGCGCAGTGGTTGAGTGTCCGCCTGCCGATGCAGGGGACACGGGTTCATGCCCCAGTCCGGGAAGATCCCACATGCCGCGAAGCAGCTGGGCCCGTGAGCCATGGCCGCTGAGCTTGCGCATCCGGAGCCTGTGCTCCACAATGGGAGAGCCACAACAGTGAGCGGCCCGTGTACTGCAATAAATAAATAAATAAAAGGATGCCGCCAGATCATATCCCAATAAAAATAAAGTTAAAAAAAAAAAAAAGAGACCCCAGGGATCCCAGCTACCCTGACACTGTACTGTGTGCTCCTACAAAGCCCAGATGGCTCTTTGGGTAGGGAAGGAAGAGACTAGAATGAAGAGTGCTCTAAAGAAGGCCATCTCTGGGCAGGGAACCTAGGCCCAGAGCCCACAGCCCCAGTCCGATGTCAAAGGAACACCCTTCTCTGGTGTGTGCCCTCCGCCTCCCTGCCTTGGGAGGCCCCTCCTCCTCTGCCTCAGGAGGATCTGGGGTTCCTTTTCAAGGCTTTACTGTTCCTTTCTGCTTTGTTCCTCTGCTAAAGCACCAACTCTCAAGTTCCAGAACAGTGTCTGGCACCTGGTAACACTGATGTCATTCCAGGACCTCAGCTACTTCTCTGTGCTCCATGGGAATCCTTGTTTTCTAGCGGATGCATTGCTCTTTCCTACAAGGTGAGACATTCATGCAGAATGGCCTAGACCTCTGGACACTAAAACACCATCTCACAAACCCCACAGATGCCCTGGTCTACATCAGGGCATGGCCGGCCCACCAAACCTCTTCACCTGCCAAAAGATACAGAATGTGGGAATCCAGGTGATTCAGCGAGGCCCAGCTCACAGCGTTCACCTGGTGAGGAAACACACAGCCAGATGGAAAGATTGGTTTGATGCCAACTTATGGAGAGAAACAGACAAATACTTTCTTATAGAACAGTAATGTGACTGACTGCTTTCTTCAGGTCTCACTCCTCGAACAGGGACTGGAACGAGCATTCTGAGAACAAGGAAGCTCCCTGCCCCACCGTGCAGAACCTTGAGGGGAAAGGGAAGAAGTAACCCCCAGGCCTCAGTCCTTTATCATCAGTATAGCATGGGCATCACAATGAGCCATCTGGTATACCCTCTGGTATAGGCCAGGGATGAATTCTCTGCAACGGATCTCACTTCACCCAGAAACCATTTTCAACCTGTGTCCATCTTGTGGCTCATGTCTCAACAGAACAGAAAATCACAGCTTCTTACAGATGCAGCCATCACCCACTGCAATGTTAAAAGTTGCCCCCTAGATAGCAGGCTCCTTACATTTACATAAACTTCAGTGCTGGCTACGACTGACTGGGAGATTGACATAATGTTCTGATACATTGGGAGGACCCTCCACCCAGACCTCTGTGGCCCGCCTCCCAGGAACTCTGTGCTTTAGCATCGGCTCCTTTGGATCAACTTAACCCTCCTGGAGGGAAGTCCATGCAACAGTTTAATTAAAGCAACACTGCTTCAAGTCCTCCCCCATGTAAATTCATTTCTCTTCCAAGACGAGAAACTAATGAGGCCCTTTTCTTCCCCTATGAGTCCTCAGGATCTAAAACTCCATTTTTTCCCTTGAGAAAATGAGGTAACCGAGCCCTGCCTTCTTCACAAAGCTCTCTCCTCTACTCTGAATTTGGCCAATTACTGCAGTGCCCTGGATCCAATGGCAGAGCAGGCTGCCATGGCTAAAGGGAAGCGCAGCGTACCTTCCGGTTGGTGAAGTAGAGGTTTTCATGCATGTGCACCCTGAGCGTGGGGGTCTTCAGGCCACGCAGGTTGATGATGCCATACTTGGAGCCCCCGACTTTGACATCGTTCACAGTGAAGAGCCGGTCACTGTTGGTATCCGCCTGGAGAAGGGAGGTGGACTGTGGGTGGCCTCCCAGGCTGAGCCACGCGGTCTGCCGAAAGACCATCTACCTAGCTCCCACGCTCTTGTGTGTTTTCACCAGGTGAGGGTTCTCGCCCATGAGGAAGTGCGGAATGACCTGACTTGCCCCTACTTGGTGTAGCCATCACTGGGCAAAGCTGACAGGCATCTGGTCTCACAGTTCAGGAGCAAAAAAGGCAGTGAGGGGGCACGGCCAGTCTGCACAGTGACCCCTCTCAGAGCTGGGTTTGGGAGAGTCCTAACGTCCACCCAGAGGAGTTTAGATGAGACACATGATGACAGAGCATGTGGCCATCATGAAAGCCACACAGAAATGTGGAAAATGCTAATTATAACTGCCAAGGGATAAAAGAAGAAAGCAAAATTGTATTCCTATTACATAAGCATTGTGATTATCACCTAGTAAAAAGAAAGGCATCGCATGGGGGAAAAAATTACAATAGGAAAGATGGCACTGGGATGTGGGTTATTTTTAAGATTTTCTGTTTTCATTTAAAAAATATGGTTAATAATTATTTCAAAGCAAAACCTTTATATGTTTATGTGTTTTTAAAAATATATTTATAAATATAACATACACAAATACACATGGGTTTGGGTACTGGTGAAAACACAATCACTTTGCAAGTTTACTTGGCAAGAACAGTTATATTCCTGAAGAATCATTACCAGTGACTAGAGTCAGATCTGAAAACTCTGATCCCTGGGTGACAAACTGCCCTTCCCACCCCTCTGGGTCACACCAGCCATCCAGTCTTCGTAACTCTGGATCATGGGGAGGGTCTTCCAAACACCAGCACACAAAGTATGAAGAACAGGTGCTCAGGCCATGCTAAGCAGCAGGTGCACAGTGATCTCCACTGTCCCCACCCGGTTTACTGAAGAACCCCAGGGAAGGGGCTCCTGAGGGGAACCCACCACAAGAATGTATTCTACTTGATTCAGGTCAAACTGTTCCCCAAACACAGGAGAAAACATGAGTCCTGGCCCCTGACAGTCCTTACGTGAAGGGCTCTGTTGTAGAGGTCCTGGGGCAGGACCTCAAGGGTAAATTCCGTAGCCTCAGCCTCCAGTCCTGTCAGTAGACCACCAGGCTGAGGCTCTCTATTTTGTGTCCTTCTCTCACTCTCCTTGGCTGTCCCTCAGCCTCCAGGAAGGCCTCCAGGAGTTGCCAGTCCAGCTGAGAGGTCTGGCTACTTCTGTTTGCAGTGGACCCTCTGATCCTCTGCCAACATTTCTCTGCCCCCTGGCTTCTAGTCCAGGTCTAAACCAGAAGCAGAGAGATCATTTTCTGCTCCTCGCAAATGATGCAGTGGAGGTGTGCTGGATGTGCAGGCCCAGAGACATGGCCTGCAGGCCCCTGTTACTGAGGTCAGGGACAGAAAGCAAGAAACTAATACGCTGTTGCTACTGAAGGACACTGGTGCTTCAGGTCTGGCCACCAAATCCTGTCCAGTATGGAAAGGATCAGAAGCCCCTGGTCCTCCATGTAACTTTTCAACTGTGTACACAACATACCCATGGGAAAGTTACTTTGTGATGGTCCTCTGTCAGCGTGTGTGGACCCCAGCTCTAATGTCAAATGACAGAACTGTAGTGGGGGTGACAATGGTCACAGCACAGCCTGTCTTGCCAGCTTGGCATCTGCCAATGGGTAGCTGGTAGGTGCTTGTTAAAACCATAAAACCTGCTTTCATGGCTAGTGGCTTCTACACAGCCAGGCTTGATGAAAACAAATGCAAAGCCACGAATTGTCCAGGGGATGGCAACTATGTCTCTGGAACCTACAGATGGCTCCCTCCCACTCACCAGTATCAGGTTAAATCGGTCACTTGCCAAAGCGGAGGGATCCGAGCTCTGAATTTGGACCTTTTTCCTCTGCATGCAGCTCACTCGCAGCTCATGGGCTAAACTGCAGAGGAGAAAGAGGGAAGCAGGGGAGGTATGGACATCATACCTAGATATCCATGAAGATGCAGGGGTTCTGCTCTGTCCCACACCCTGAAGACCACCTTCTCTCGTCAGCTCTCTCTCCATATTAAATCTCAGCAATGGAGCTGAGCAAGGCCCCAAAGAACCTCAATTTTAGAACTCTTAGGAAAACTAAAGCAAAGAAATGGGTGGCTCATTCATGGTGTCAAAGAAAGTCAGAACTAGAAGGACTTGTATTGGATCATCTAGTGCAACTCGTTCTCTTGAGATGAAGAGAATGTGCCTGAGAAATGAAACAACCTGCTGAAGGGCACACAGTTCATGAAGAGCCAGGCATGCAGTTGCCCATCCGGTTACCCCTTTTCCTCTCCACCAAAGACCGAGCATGTTTTAGGGTGAAGAACAGATCTTCCTAACTAGACCTTTAACTCTTTTCCCTCTGAGAAGGAGAGAAACACAGGACAAGCACACCCCTACCTGCCCTGGCTGACACTGCCTGCAGGGCTGGCCTTCCCTGAGGGGGCCTCCCTGGGTAGACCACCCACACCCATGTTGTTTCTTCACTGGCCCAGGTAGAGTGGGAGGCAGCAGAATGCAGGGGTTAGGAGCTCAGGCTGGGGAGTCAGACAGATCCCCCCACTTTCTAGCTTTACCTTGAGCAAATCATTCCACTCTGAGTCTCAGTCTCTTCTTCTGGAACCTGGGGAAAGTGTCAACCTATCTCACAGGGCTTTAGTTAGAACTGTATCAGATATCACCAGTATTTAAAGTTTAGTACACATCCATTTAACGTTCCCTTTTTGGTGACAACTCATTGGAAGGAGAAAAAGAGGCAGAAGGCTGATGGGATGAAGTTAAAGGGCCTTCTACTTAACTAGAAATGATTTACAAGTAACAAAGAGGAGCCATCTTGAGAAATTTCTGCCCAATTTCTCTGCCTAGATCCCCTCTCCTCTCTCCCTGGCTCTAAAGGAAGGATGATTCTCTCAGGGCTGATTTCAGCAGCAGAAGCAGGCTGTCGAGCTGAAGCTCCTCAACTGTGAACACTCCTCACGGAGCAGCTACGTGCTCTATCCTGACAATTCTTGGATCATGGAAATAAGAAATAGGAAAAGAACATTCATGAAGAAAACATAACAAAGAGGCGTTATCTTACCGGCAGTAACTGGTGACGTTGAGAAAACCCAGCTTGCTTTTTTGTAGTAAGGAAGATGCATTAAATCCCAACCTGGCTGTTTTCTAAAAGAGAGAAAGATTCAGTGAAGTTTTATGTTATTGTATAAAGAATTATGTTTTTAGGATTCTAGTCTCCTCTCCTTGGAAAGAGGAAAAGCCTATCACAAGGAAGTATGTGTGAGATGGGAAGTCTGCTCAGCACCTCTCCAAGTCCCCCATCAATTTATACCTGAGGAGATGAGGCCACTGAGCTAGTGAGCACAGGAATGGCACTGGACACTCAGGTCTGTAACACCCTTTCCATTCGACCTACGGTTACTGTGGGGCCCAGACTTTCCATTCCATTGTCCCCATGATCACGGAAATGTCCTGGCATCTCATCTCCAGAAGGGGTACCAGAAACCCTCGTATCCAAACCACACACTCTGGTTTTCTATTTAAAATACACAGTTACAGAGGCTGTATTGGGCTGCTACCCAATAGTCTCCTGGGGAAGGACAGAATGTAAGAATTCCTGATGAAACCCAGCAAGTAAGAAAAGGGGGGTGGTGGTGGGAGGAGATTTCTTGCCTGTTCTTATTCTCTTCATCAGGTTCCTGTCAGGGAAAATTCTACGCCACCCTCCTAAAGTGCGCTACGCTGAGGGTTACAGGGGCGTTTAATTGGCACCTCCTTGTGGCAGTGGGTGGATGCTGGCAGGAGTGGAGGGGACAGGGCAGCTCCTGGGGCTGTGGAGCCTACCTTTCCCTGCTTGTCCTCTTCCTCTAGCAGCTGCAGCCTTTTGCTCTCCATTTCCTTCTGCCGGATGCCCTCCTTCGTGAGGGGGTTGCAGTTGTTATGTCCAGGGAGCAAGCGGAAGTAGCGTTTCTTTTCAGGGTCAAAGTAATAACCTGGTAGATCTTTAGTCAAAAGAAATAAAACCCAACTTAAAACACCGTGAACCGAGCCACCCAGTGAGAAGCCCAGGGGCCTGCCTACCACCCCTCACAGCTGCCGGTCTTTCCTGAGCAGCAGGAGGTGGGCTAGCACTGCCAGTCACCATCCCGGGCCCAGTTCAGTCCTGTGGGGAGCTGTTTGCCTCAGGATCACGGTTCTTGTTTCAATTTGCTCCCAGAATTTCCTCCAAGCCAGGAATGGGCTGATGGCACACATGGAGTGTACCCACACACAAGTGAAGACACACAGGACTGAGGAGAAGGGCAGCCAGAACAGACATAACTAGATGACGAGGCACAACTAGGTTTCATCTTTCCCCACAGGCAGGGCCGGAGGAGCCCTGTCCAGCAGGCTGCCTTACCTGGCACAGAAGAGCTGCCAGCTGTGCTCGAGGAGGTCGACGGGGCCTCATCATCGCTGTGGCTGGAACCCTGTGGGCTTTGCTGCACCCTTGTATTATTCCTGTTGACACACAGTCAGGGTTAACTTGCAGCCAATGAGTCCCAGTCATTCTTTGACTCTGGGGTCCTGCAGTTCCACAGCCTTCACCCCAACCCTCGATTACTTGGGGAGCACTGACCCCTCTTTTTCTTGGAAGCAGTTTACCTACTGCAAATACACCAAAGTTAGGGCACGGTTTTTGGTTTCTCATCCTTAAGAGGATGCAGGTCACAGTAGTTCCTCTTTTGTATCTCCTCATGTGAGCATTTTGTGAGGTCTTTTGGAATTTTCCAGATGAAAATGAGAACAGAAATCTTGGCCAATAAGAATTTTACCAGCTGGGCTCATTTGTCAGCTCAACAGCAGTTACAAGGCCAGGTGAATTTCATTTTTTATTGGATTCAGCAGTACAAGAGTTTAAATTTTACTTGGTTACTCAACCCTGCAGATGGAGAAACTGGGGTTCAGGGCACAGAGGTGATTTGCTCAGCAATACCGGGATAGAGCCATGGTTTAAATACTCATTTTGCAAAGCTACAAGCAGCTTCTGTGGCAATTATAGGCTGAAGGATATAATGAAAGAATAAAAGACCTAATTTTAGAATTCTGGTAAAATCCACTTTAAAATTAAGAACTTCCCCTGCCCCCTATAACACCAAAAGGAATACAAACTGCAAAACTAGGTTAAAGGAATCAAAGAACTCTCTCTTTTGTCTATAAATACTAACTATGCACAGTTTTAGAGAAAATTATTTATTCTCCCTTTTTACGGCCCAGAGCTTCCTGAGGAAGCTCACGTGTGATCAGCAGCAAGCGGAGGAAGGATTAAGTGTTATAACAAAGGTCTACATCTCTAGCTCAAGGACCGCTGCCCCATTCTTTCCACAGGGAGCCCGGAAGGTGGCTGTCCAGCCGGCTTCCACGTGACTCTGCCAAGCTGAATCAAGACTCTCTCCCTGTGCAGATCACAGTTTGCTGCACGACGCGCTCTTGAGGGAAAGCCTGGGGCCCAAAGAGTATCCATGGTTCTCCTCATAAAACATACAAACATTGAGTACCTGTCCTGATCTTTCTACAGTATGGGTCATGTTGGGGACTTTGGTTCAGAGTCCCTATTATTCTGCACCAAATGAGGTCCACCATATACACAGGGCCTACTCAGAGACAGGCAGCCTGATGGGCCTTTACATACATTATTACGAACCTCACAAGAGAAGTATGGTACAAGAAGAGTGACTCAGGGTGGGTGATTAAGTAGCTTGACCAATTTCACACAGGAAAACGTACAGCGTCAAACCCAGACTTCCTAATTCCAAAGCCCTTGTTTCTTCCACAACATTCTGATGCTTTTTTTTTTTTCTGTTTGAGTTAATCTGTTCTAGAGAAGCATACTGGCATTCGACATCTTCTGACCCTATAGCTAGAAATCTGTCCATTTTAAAAGGAGATCTGGAGTGTGAAAGACTTTTGGAATTGGCATACGGGTCTCCTTTGGTGAGGAGAGGGCTGTGCAAAGACTTCCTATGGCCAGAAGTCACGTCAGCAGCCCTGAACTGTGAAGAGGTATCCTCTCCTGGGGTGGGGTGGGGTGAATCATGTTCTGAGATTAGATAAGTAGAGTGTGGAAAATATTTATTATGGGGATTTCACCTAAGTATACACTGTTTTATTTTTCAAGCTGGGTGGTAGGTACCTAATATTCATTGTATTATTCTTTATACCTTTTTGTGTTTATTAAATACTCTATCGTATTATATATTATATAGCCTTACTTAGGATTTAGGCTGAATTAATGAAATTAGGTTTCCAGAAAGCTACTTTCATAGGCTGAAAAAAAAGAAGAAAGACTAAAAAATGGAGAAAGAGCTCCCCAGTTGTATCAGATAATGTTTACTTCTAAGCCTGTGGCTAAGGCTCCAGCCAGAAGTCATGGTCACAATGAAAAGAAAGACAAGTGTGGCCACCTCCTCACTACTCAAAGTGTGGCAGGCAGGCTGGCCCCCAGCAGACACCCCCTTGGGAGCATGTGAGAAGCACAGACTCTAGTCGGCCCGACCTCAGAGCCTGCATTTTGCTGAGACCCCCAGGGAGTCATGTGCCTGTGAGGGTGCTGTCAACGCTAGTAAGACACTGGGCAACAGCACTTGCCTCTCATTAGAACCATGCTGTCTGAACCAAGGGTTGTGTCGGTGGCTCCTTCTCCCATGTCTTCTACTCTGCCCCCTGCTTTTATGCATTTCAGCTGCTAAAAGAGAAAAAGAAAGAAAATTACATACAAATGCACATGTGCACACCTCTCTCTTCTGTTTGCTTCTTGATAGTTCCTTCATGCTCAAAACTAGGCAAAAGGATGGCCCAACATGGGTTATCATTAAAGCCGCCACCAAGCCTTACCTGTAGGACTGCCACCAGGTGGACACACAAATAAAACCCAACGCGTCTGTAGCCATCTCTCTGGCTGCAGTCCTCTTACCTCACAGCTGATGCCTGGCCCGACAACCTGCCAACCTCTATTCCCCAGGTCACTGTGTGACGTGTTGACAGACTCTCACAATTACTTTCCAACAACAGTCTGAGCCTGGCATGAGAACCCTCCGAAGCTAGTCTTCTTTTCCTTAACCAGATTAACTCCAGAGCATATAATAATTTTTCTTTTGATCCACCCACATCCCTATTCATAGAGAATAGTTAATCGTGAACACTATCTCTTCCTCAGTTTCAGTATCAAGCAGGAAAAATTGTGAACAAATTAAATGGGGCCAGTGGCATGTGACTTCTCAATGTGCTTTAGAGAGTGTTTTAGTTTCCTGAAGTACACTAGCTGTTAAAGGGAAGGATGCGCACATGCATTTGTTGAAATAAGGAATGATGTTTTAAAGGCACTGATGTTGCCATAACTAACTATTTCGAGTGGCTTTTTCAAGTCTTATCTTGTATGGCCTGAATTTATCACTTAATCATCAAATCATCAGTTGTTTTAACACTGGGAATCACATTAGGAATTCTTAAAGAGACTGAACTGTAGTACACAGACGAGCTGCTGCGAGTTTCATGCTTTCCCAACACCTGGTGATCCTTTCCCCACTCAGTGGAGACACTGTGACATCTTACCGAATACACATTAAAAGTATATTCAAATGCCGTTAACAAAATTAGAAAAAAATTTCTAGGGCTGAATGCAACCAAAGAATAGATTAGAAAATCTATTTGCTTTTATTTTCCAACTTCTACTTTTGAGTAGGAAGTGCCTGTTAGCATCAAACAGAGCACCAGAAGTCTGGACCTACATTCCAGAATTCAGTATTTACCCAACGACTTCTGTGTCAACCTATGATTGTGAGTTGGGGCTATTCGATACAAAGGAAGAGATATTTAGTGAGTATAGTACTTAACCAAACATTTCATGAATTCTGTAATAAAGTCCTTGATTTGCCTGCTTCAGAGTCAGTGGGAAGCAGACTCCACAACCTGGATTAGTTTAACCAGCCACTCTCTAGTCCTGTGCCAGAACGAATAAGCACCACTAAAGCTCATCAATATAGCCATGCCGACTTGGAGTCATCACAAATGTCTCACTTTCATCCTCTGCTGGGACATTATAAATTGACCTAGTTTTATTTATTCCTAGTCTGATTCACTCCCGACAATCCAGGGTGTTATCACTCTCCTAAAATCCCTTCCCACTTCCTCCTGGTCACACTTAGTAGACAGCATAGCTCCCTACCTGACCCAGAAGAGAGATGTTACCAGTACAAATACCCCCAACTTCTTTTTCATCCCCTCCACAAAGGCCTGCCTTTACTAATTCTTATCATCTTCCTTTTTGTCTTGGAGAAACAAGTGTCCCTGTGCCTTTTCCAGGCAAACCCATCCCTCCTGGGTGTTGATCTCATTTCCTTCTCAAACTCTGCAGACATCTGTGTTCACATATGTTTAATCAATCTCCCCCTCTCCTTATCTCAGCTTATAAACACGCTCAGGTTTTTCATTTGTATGTGCTCCACTTCCAACCCAAAAGGAACAGAAATGTTCTGGAAGCATGGTCTATATGTACACACTCCACTTCTTTATTTTCCAATCATTCTTCAACTCACTGTAGTCAGGCCTCCTCCATCCTCACCGTTCTGCTAAAATGCTCTTGCTGAGGTTAATGATCCCCTACTTGCCAAAGTTAGTGGTCTCTTTTTAGCCCTTATTCCTACAACACATGACACCACAAAGCTTCACTCTTCCCTAGGTTTCTGGAATATCTTTCTCTTGGTTCTCCTCGTACTTGTCAAGTTAATCCTTCTCTAGTTTCTCTTGGGCCACCCACTCTGTGTTTAACAACGTTCTGTCCTAGATCCTCTTCATTTTATACTTAATACAATCTCACCTGCAAACACCGTTTCATCTCTAACCTAGCATCAAGTTCTTATAAAAAGGCTGCCTCCTGTCTACTTTCACAGACCATGTTCCAAAGTGAGCTCATGATCTCTCCCTAGTTCCTAGTATGCTCTTTCACCTATCTGTATTTCCTTTCTCTGAAATTCTACCACTGCCCCATCCCCATCCAAAAATATAATAATTTTATTCATTTTCCTCAGCAACCACTTTAATGGCTCCTGAATACCACATGCATAGGTTTCCCTTTGGATCAATTATCTTAAGCCTCAGACAAAGAATAAAGCTGTATTTATTAATTAGTTACGTTACAGGTTAAAGGCACTATGCACAGGAAGGGAAATACGTATGGATGGTGATAAGAAAACTGGTAAGAAAAATAAGCCATACTGACATAAGATTATCATTATTACCAACCAACTCTACAAAAAAAGAAAACTTATTTAGATTGCACATTCTGTACATGATTCCAGTCTGCTTTAGTTATGAAATGATGCATGAATAGTGGAAAAGCATAGGTAACGGCGAGTCAAAGGCGTCAGATCACCCATTAGGAGGCAGGGCCATTGGCCCACTTGCACCACTGTCCTCAGTAGAGCACTGCACTATCAGAAGGACATGGTAAATAATGAAATAAATTGGTGAGTGCTGGTTTTGGCCAAAGACAATATTTCTAAACCACCACCTCACACAAGCACAGGTGCAGGCACTGCAGTGGGAGAGAAGGGAGTGATGGCTCTGAATGGAAGAGCCAGAGGGGACAGTGAGTTTGAACCCAGTCTGTCAGGCAAGGTTGGCAGAGTGAGGGGCCTGCAAGCAGTTTGGTATGGCCACAGCCTAAAGTACAGGGGCTGGGAGATTAGGCTAGAGAGGCAGGCAGGGTCAGATGCTGAGGTCTCTGGGTGCTCGGTAAGTTCGCTGAGTAACATGACTAAACCTGCATTTTAGAAGGGCAGCGGTGGAGGGAATAAGTTGGAAGTTAAGGACTGCTGTAGCAACTCAGGTTACATGAACCCACCAACATGGAAGTGATACTTGGGATAGAGAACCCTGAATTTAGAAAGATTTAGAGGTGAGTTTCATGGGAGAGGTGGAGAGAGAGCAGCTGAAACCTGATAAATGAATAACTGGTAGTGTTCTGACCTGAAAGACAAGGAGGAGGAGCTGTTTGGGGAATGAAGACAGTAAGCCTGATTTTGAACAAACCAATCTCAAGATGTTTGTAAATAGGGGTCTGGGAATTCAGAGGGAAAATGAGGCTAAAGATATAGATTTGAAAGTCACCAGCACATGGTAACAGAGTGAGACAAATGTGGCTCCAAAGCCAAATATATATATATAGCAAAGATTAAAATTCAAAATTGAGACAATTTTATTGGACAGTAATATGAAGTCAGCACAATCAGTTTTTAGATTGGTGTTTCTCAACCAAGGGCAACTTCACCCACCAGGGGACATTTGGCAACGTCCAGGGACATTTTTGTTTGCCACAGCTTGGCGGCAGGGAAGGGTGGGCTGCTATGGCATTTAGTGGGTAGAAGCCAGGGATGCTGCTAACCATCCTACAATACAGGACAGCACCTTACAACAAATTATCCAGCCCCAAATAGTGCTGAGGTTAAGAAACCCTGCTCTAGACAGGAAGCGCTCAATTATAATTTTCTGGGTGAAATGTTGAATCCCAGCTCCTCTGGAGCCACTCTGCCAGGCACAGACATTAAATGTGTTGTGGTAGGCTGAGCTTGGCTTTGCCTTTTACACAAGCTTTCAAGTACTTGAAGGATAAAGAATAATAATTTCTAAGAGACCATTAGTCTAGAAAGACAATGTTAATCTCAAACAAATAAACAAACATGATTTAACTTTTTGGAAAATGACTGAGCAATAATTATCAAGTAATTTAAATGTACATGCCTTCTTCTGGGAATAGATATGAAGAAAATAATCCAAAAGGTTGTAAGAATTATATGCAAGATATTTACTTTCTAAAGCTAGTAGTCCTCTGTTGCCAAAACCAGACAGAGGTATCACAAGACAAGAAAACTATAGATCAACCTACCTTATGGACACAGCCACAGATCCTCAACCAAATCCTAGCAAACCAAATCTAGATGCATATAAAAAGGATAATACACCATGACCAAGTAGGATTTACCCCAAGTTCAACATACGAAAACCAATCAATGCCATACACCATATTAACAGAATAAATGAGGGGAAAAACCTCCACGTGATTTTCTCAAGAGATGCAGAAAAAACACCAGACAAAATCCAATACCCTGTCATGACAAAAACTAGGCACAGAAGTAACTTCCACAACTTGATAAAGGGCATCTACCCTACAGCTAACATCATAATAGTGAAAGACTGCAAGCTTTTCTCCTAAGGTTAGGAACAAGACAAGGATGTCTGTTCTTAGCATTTCCATTCAACATTGTACTGGAAGTTCTAGCCAGGGGCAATTAGGCAAGAAAAAGAAATAAAAGGCATGCAAACAGGAAAGGAAGAAGTAAAACTATTTCTATTGGCAGATGACATGATGTTATACATACAGAAAATCCTAAAGAATCCACACACACAAAAACTACTGGAGCTAATAAATGATTTAAGCAAGGTTGCAGGATACAAGATTAATATATAAAAATCAGGGCTTCCCTGGTGGCGCAGTGATTAAGAACCCGCCTAACAATGCAGGGGACACAGGTTCGAGACCTGGTCTGGGAAGATCCCACATGCTGCGCAGCAACTAAGCCCAGGCGCCACAACTACTGAGCCTGCGCTCTAGAGCCCGCGAGCCACAACTACTGAGCCTGAGTGGCACAGCTACTGAAGCCCGTGAGTCTAGAGCCTGTGCTCCACAAT